GCGGTGTCAAGATCGGCCTCTGTGGAGGAGGCTCGTGAAGGACGCTGCTGGGCAGTTGGAGGCAGTCGCCCTCCAACAACAATGGAGGGCGGAGGAGCGACGCTCACAACAACGAGCGGAGCGCCGGGTGGCTAAAGCACAGCAAGTTGGCACAGTAGGGGACACAGGTGGTGCATCAGCCAGTCGTCTCGGTCATCTCAGTCAGTCGACCCGTGGCACCTGCTGGGTCTGTCCCGTGACCTCCTGCCAGCGGGCGTTCGACACTTCACGTAGCAACCTCAAGGTGCACATGGCCTGGCACAAGCGTCGCGGTGACGTCACCGCCACCGAGTGGCGAATGGCGGTTGTTGTTGTGTCTGGAGGCAAGTTGCTAGAAGACGAATGCGGGGTGGGCGGGCGGCGGGCGGCGTTACCGTCAATTTGTTATTGCGATTTATTTAGGCCATCAGGAAGAGCCCACACCTCGCGTGCGTGCGTGGTGAAGGGAGGGGGAGAAAAACAACAACGCGAATGACCCCCGGCAACACGCGGCCGACGCCGCTCGCGAGATGGGCACGCGGACTTGGGATGAACGCGTCGATCGCTTCGCCGAAGGCGGCCGCAGCAGCCGCGGATACCAACGGTTTGCGTCTCCCAAACCCACACCCCTCCAAGCTCTGCGGTCCCCTACGTACGGAAGGTGTCCACGGCCCGGTTAACGACGAGTGTTGTTTAATTCTAGATTTGAAGCTTTCGTGACTGCAAGGATTCACACTCTTAGTTCTTTCGGTAAAGTCACGTGGGTAAAAAATGAAATTAAAATTTATAAAAATAAAATAATAATAATTCACGACGTTTCGGAGGCAACACAAGTCTCCGTCATCAGGTGGGACCGTCACAGCGCAATTTGCTGCATCAACTGAGTGTTGTTTACGCACGTGGCAGAGGAGGAAACCGGTGCAACCCGGAGAAAATCCACGAGCGAGTGAGTAAAAAAACCCGTAAAAACAAAGTTTTTCACTATAAATCTTTTATATGCGTGTTCAATGGGCCACAACGCAGCCCACATTGGTCTTTGAAACGGGCGGCTAGAGTCCTCTCGTCCTCTGGCTTGAGATGGCTGCCACCTATGGGTCAGATGATTGCCTGCGACCATTAAGAAATTGGTAATTAAATATAAAAAAATTTACCTAAAAAGTGTCAAATTTTGGAAAAAAAATTTCACGAAAAGAAATTGTCACGCACAACGAGTCTGTGTGCAAAATGTCAGCTCGATTGGATCACGGGAAGTGGGTTTAAAAAACGACCGAAAGATTTGCACGGTCGTAAGCGCGCAAGCAAGCAAGCAAGTGAACTTAATATAAAGGATTTAAAAGAGGGGTGGGAGGGAGCAACGCTCTACCCCCCCCCCCTCCGCTCCCCATGCAGACGGAAACAGGTGCAGGTCTTGCATTGTGTTTGCCGTGAGTCGCTCTTCTCCTGCCACAAGAGACCAGGGGAAGGGTTACACGGCTCTCCACGACACCCAACCCGCGGCTAAAGGAAGGGAGGGAGGGAGGAGGAGGAGGTGGTGGTGGAGTTTTATCAACATCGTTTTTTTTTTGGTGGAGCGACAGTGCAGCGGTCAGCGCTACGCCGCCGCTACGAACCCGGCGATCCCGGGTTCGATTCCCGCTCACGGCCAACACCGGTGACTTTTATGTGAACCGGTGCTGGGCCTCCCCTCGGTCGACTCAGCCACCACCACCACCACCACTGCCACTAGGGAATCAAAGGCGGCCGTGTATTATTCCCGCCTGCATAGGTGCTACTCGCTAACTGCACTTGCCCCAACAGGCTGGTCAAGGCTACACGGGGGATCTTCGTCTTTTCTTTTCATCCACCCGCACCCCCCTCGCTCGCCGCTGCCCCCCACAGTGCTGGACTATGGATGGGGCGGCCGCTTGCCAGCAGAGTAGCCGCCACCACCACCAACCACAACCAACCACAACCACCACCACCACCAACCACAACCACCAACCAACACTAACCACAACCAACCACAACCACCACCACCAACCACAACCACCAACCACAACCACCACCACCAACCACAACCAACCACAACCAACCACCCGGTTATAATTAACAACATAACTCAGTAGTAGTAGCAGCAGTAGTGGGTGAAGTGTAAGAGGGGGGAGTTCCCCTATTCATGAACAGAATCCGATCGCACCCCCCACCGCCCGCCCCTCCGGGCTGCCGTTTTGAAGGACGAAAACTTCCAGAATCGTCATCAGAATAGTTATATACCGGAGGAATCCGATGAGCTGTAAAGCTTAGTCGGGGGGGGGGGGGGGGGGGGGCGCCCGCACTCGCCCCCCCGCTCCCCCCCAGCCAAATTTTTTAACACGGAAAAAGCCGGTAGATGATTTTCAGAATCCGTTCGGCGTGGTGGTGGTGGATGTGTGTGGGAGGTGTGTGTGGGTGTGTGTGAGTTTGTGTGGGTGTGTGTGGGTTTGTGTGGGTGTGTGTGGGGGGTGTGTGTGGGTTTGTGTGGGGGATGGTGGGTGTGTGTAGGTTTGTGTGGGGTGTGTGTGGGTTTGTGTGGATGTGTGTGGGTTTGTGTGGGTGTGTGTGTGGGTGTGTGTAGGTTTGTGTGGGGTGTGTGTGGATGTGTGTGTGGGTTTGTGTGGGTGTGGGTGTGTGTAGGTTTGTGTGGGGTGTGTGTGGATGTGTGTGGGTTTGTGTGGGTGTGTGGGGGGTGTGTGGGGGTGTGTGTGGGTGTGTGTGGATGTGTGTGGGGTATGTAAGATGTGTGTGGGTTTGTGTGGGTGTGTGTGGGTGTGTGTATGTGCGTGGATGTGTGTGAGGGGTGTGTGTGGGTGTGTGTGTGGGGTGTGTGTGGGTTTGTGTGGGTGTGTGTGGGTTTGTGTGGGTGTGTGTGGGTTTGTGTGGGTGTGTGTGTGGGTGTGTGTGGGTTTGTGTGGGTGTGTGTGGGTGTGTGTGGGTTTGTGTGGGTGTGTGTGGGTTTGTGTGGGTTTGTGTGGGTGTGTGTGGGTGTGTGTGGGTGTGTGTGGGTGTGTGTGGGTTTGTGTGGGTTTGTGTGGGTGTGTGGGGGGTGTGTGTGGGTGTGTGTAGATGTGTGTGGGTGTGTGTGGGTGTGTGTGGGTGGGGGTGTGTGGGTTTGTGTGGGTGTGTGTGGGTTTGTGTGGGTGTGTGGGGGTGTGTGTGGGTTTGTGTGGGTTTGTGTGGGTGTGTGGGGGGTGTGTGTGGGTGTGTGTAGATGTTTGTGGGTGTGTGTGGGGTGTGTGTGGGTGTGTGTAGATGTGTGTGGGTTTGTGTGGGTGTGTGGGGGTGTGTGTGGGTGTGTGTGTGGGTTTGGGTGGATGTGTGTGGGTGTGTGTGGGTTTGTGTGGGTGTGTGGGGGTTTGTGTGGGGTGTGTGGGTTTGTGTGGGTGTGTGTGGGTTTGTGTGGGTGTGTGTGGGTGTGTGTGGGTTTGTGTGGGTTTGTGTGGGTGTGTGGGGGGTGTGTGTGGGTGTGTGTAGATGTGTGTGGGTGTGTGTAGATGTGTGTGGGTGGGGGTGTGTGGGTTTGTGTGGGTGTGTGTGGGCGTGTGTGAGGGGTGTGTGTGGGTGTGTGTGTGGGGTGTGTGTGGGTGTGTGTGGGTTTGTGTGGGTGTGTGGGGGTGTGTGTGGGTGTGTGTGGATGTGTGTGGGGTATGTGGGATGTGTGTGGGTTTGTGTGGGTGTGTGTGGGTGTGTGTGTGGGTTTGTGTGTATGTGTGTGGATGTGTGTGAGGGGTGTGTGTGGGTGTGTGTGTGGGGTGTGTGTGGGTGTGTGTGGGTTTGTGTGGGTGTGTGTGGGTTTGTGTGGGTGTGTGTGGGTTTGTGTGGGTGTGTGTGGGTGTGTGGGTGGGTGGGGAGCGGTAGTGTAGCGGTTAGCGCGCTGCGCTATGAACCTGGCGACCCGGGTTCGATTCCCGCTCACGGCTAACACCAGTGACGATTATCTGAACCGGTCCTGGGCCTCCCCTAGGTCGACTCAGCCTTAAATGAGTACCTGGTGCGGTGTGTAAACATCGCCACTGGGGAGACAAAGGCGGTCGGGCGTGGTGCTGGCCACCCACCCCCTCGTGTACCGTTCCGGCCTTCATAGGTGCTCGCTAACAGCACTTGCCCCTACAGTCTGTGGGTTTGTGTGGGTGTGTGTGGGTGTGTGTGGGTTTGTGTGGGTGTGTGTGGGTTTGTGTGGGTGTGTGTGGCTTTGTGTGGGTGTGTGTGGGTGTGTGTGGGTTTGTGTGGGTTTGTGTGGGTTTGTGTGGATGTGTGTGGGTGTGTGTAGATGTGTGTGGGTGTGTGTGGGTGGGGGTGTGTGGGTTTGTGTGGGTGTGTGTGGGTTTGTGTGGGTGTGTGGGGGGTGTGTGTGGGTTTGTGTGGGTGTGTGTGGGTTTGTGTGGGTGTGTGGGGGTGTGTGTGGGTTTGTGTGGGTGTGTGTGGGTGTGTGGGGGGTGTGTGTGGGTGTGTGTGGGTGTGTGTGGGGTGTGTGTGGGTGTGTGTAGATGTGTGTAGATGTGTGTGGGTTTGTGTGGGTGTGTGGGGGGTGTGTGTGGGTGTGTGTGTGGATGTGTGTGGGTGTGTGTGGGTTTGTGTGGGTGTGTGTGGGTTTGTGTGGGGTGTGTGGGTTTGTGTGGGTGTGTGTGGGTTTGTGTGGGTTTGTGTGGGTGTGTGTGGGTTTGTGTGGGTGTGTGTGGGTGTGTGTGTGGGTGTGTGTTGGTTTGTGTGGGTGTGTGTGGGTTTGTGTGGGTGTGTGGGGGGTGTGTGTGGGTGTGTGTAGATGTGTGTGGGTGTGTGTGGGTTTGTGTGGGTGTGTGTGGGTTTGTGTGGGCGGTGTGGGGGGTGTGTGTGGGTTTGTGTAGATGTGTGTGGGTTTGTGTGGGTGTGTGGGGGGTGTGTGTGGGTGTGTGTAGATGTGTGTGGGTGTGTGTGGGGTGTGTGTGGGTGTGTGTAGATGTGTGTGGGTTTGTGTGGGTGTGTGGGGGGTGTGTGTGGGTGTGTGTGTGGGTTTGTGTGGATGTGTGTGGGTGTGGGTGGGTTTGTGTGGGTGTGTGTGGGTTTGTGTGGGGTGTGTGGGTTTGTGTGGGTGTGTGGGGGGTGTGTGTGGGTTCGCTGGCGTTCTCGAAGGAAATTCTAGGAAGTGAGATTGTTTGGTGAGAGGGGGGAAAAAGTTTTGGGAGTTAAAAATAAAAAATCCGCCCCCCCCCCTCCCGACTTGTTTGAGGAACTTTGCACAAGCGGCTATCGGGGGGGGGGAGGGGCAGGGGGGGGGGGGCACCTGGGAAAATGTAAACCCGGCGGCGGCGGCGGCGTTCTGGCCGATGCACCATGGCAACAATCCTCTACTATTCTCGGCTGCTGAAAGCCGAAATACGTCAACGGTGTGATGACGACGACGACGATGATGCTTATTGCCGGGTTATTTTTTTTAGGCGTGCGGCAAATCGGTTTTGTACGGCAAGTGCTGAATCAACGCACGGCGCCGTTGCTAGGCGCGGCGCCGTTGCTAGGCGCGGCGCCGTTGCTAGGCGCGGCGCCGTTGCTAGGCGCGGCGCCGTTGCTAGGCGCGGCGCCGTTGTTAAGCGCCGTTGCTAAGCGCCGTGCCGTTGCTAGGCGCGGCGCCATTGCTAAGCGCCGTTGCTAGGCGTGGCGCCGTTGCTAGGCGCGGCGCCGTTGCTAAGCACCGTTGCTAGGCGTGGCGCCATTGCTAAGCACCGTTGCTAGGCGTGGCGCCGTTGCTAGGCGTGGCGCCGTTGCTAGGCGCCGTTGCTAAGCGTTTTCTGAGCGTTCGACGACGAACTACTTTCTTACTTTCTTGAGACGCGCGGCTGAGCGGTACGGCGATGCAGTTTGTGACAAAGTTACGCAGCGGCGGTGGCGGCGGTGGCCCTCGGTGTATTCATCCCGCCATCTCGCCGCGCGTGCCCAGTAGGGCACCGCGTCTCGCCAAGTTTTTATATCAAATCGTCGTTTACGGGGAAAATAACTTTCGCTTAACGCGGGTTTTTCGCCCGACGCGGCACTTTTCCGGAACGCGTCCACTGGCTACGAGTGCCGCGGTAAACCCAGGACTTGCTGTACATTTGCGCTGGTTACAAGTTCAGGGACGCCTCGACTTACGAACATTCGACTTACGAACATTGGACTTACGAACTTTCGACTTACGAATATTCGACTTACGAACTTTCGACTTAAGAACTTTCAGAGACACGAACAAACCCGTCCGTACGTCCAGTTGCCGGTTCGGACCTAAGGTCGTAAGTTCAACCGCGCGCGCATTGCAATAGATGGCGGTGGTGGCGGCATCTACATCGGCAGAACGTGAAGAACCAGTGGCGTTTACATCTACAGGAGATTATACAACTTTTAAGGCCATTCCCCGTGTTTACTGTACGTACCATAAAACATGTTTGGGGTCGGCAGGAGTAAAGTTGGACTTACGAACAAATCGACTTACGAACAAAAACTCTAGAAACCAACTCGTTCCTAAGTAGAGGAGTCCCTGCCAACAGATCCCACGTCACACGCTCCATGCGTGCGAGTCTCCCCCCCCCTCACTCGCGGACTCCAATAAAGGCCGCGGCTCGAACCACGGAGGTTTTGATTTCCCGGCGAATGTTGCGAGCAATCGTCGCCGGCAATGGCTGCCGCGAAATTCCCCCCTCCCCCACCCACCAACGAGAGGGCAACGTTCCGTTCAGATCACGAGGTTCACACTCTGCTCGTACCCAGATACGACCCAAATACTTACAAAAAAAATCTGCAGCTTCAAAATCCCGCTTTGATGGATGCCAAGAGAAAGCCTTCCGTCCGACTGATCGCTCCTCTTGATAATTACGGTGGTGTACCGAGCGACTGGCTACTGTCTGATGATTAAAGAGGCTAATAAGTGAATGTCACCTCCCTAACGACTAGTACCCATCCCTAATCACTAAGGCAACCAGCACTAGGCCTGGCCCATCGCTAATCACCTAGGCAACCAGCACTAGGCCTGGCCCATCGCTAATCACCTAGGCAACCAGTACGAGGCCTGGTCCATCCCTAATCACCTAGGCAACCAGTACTAGACCTGGTCCATCCCTAATCACCTTTAACCAGTACTCGGCCTGGCCCATCGCTAATCACCTAGGCAACCAGTACTAGGCCTGGTCCATCCCTCATCACCTCGGCAAACAGGACTATGCCTGGTCCATCTCTAATCACCTAGGTAACCAGTACTAGGCCTGGCCAATCCCCAATCACCTAGGCAACCAGTACTAGGCCTGGCCAATCCCTAATCACCTAGGCAACTAGTACTAGGCCTGGTCCATCCCTAATCACCTAGGTAACCAGTACTAGGCCTGGCTCATCCCTAATCACCTAGGCAACCAGTACTAGGCCTAGCTCATCCCTAATCACCTCGGCAACCAGGACTAGGCCTGGTCCATCCCTAATCACCTGGGCAACCAGTACTAGGCCTGGCCCATCCCTAATCAGTAGGCAACCAGGACTAGGCCTGGCCCATCCCTAATCACCTAGGCAACCAGCACTAGGCCTGGTCCATCGCTAATCACCTAGGTAACCAGTACTAGGCCTGGCCCATCCCTAATCACCTAGGTGGCCAGTACTAGGCCTGGTCCATCCCTAATCCCCTAGGCAACCAGTACTAGGCCTGGCCCATCCCTAATCCCCTAGGCAACCAGTGCTAGGCCTGGTCCATCCCTAATCACCTAGGTAACCAATACTAGGCCTGGTCCATCCCTAATCCCCTAGGCAACCAGTACGAGGCCTGGCTCATCCCTAATCACCTAGGTAACCAGTACTAGGCCTGGTCCATCCCTAATCACCTAGGTAACCAGGACTAGGCCTGGTCCATCCCTAATCACCTAGGTAACCAGGACTAGGCCTGGTCCATCCCTAATCACCTAGGTAACCAGTACTAGGCCTGGTCTATCTCTAATCACTTAGGTAACCACTACTAGGCCTGGTCCATCGCTAATCACCTAGGCAACCAGTACTAGGCCTGGCTCATCCCTAATCACCTAGGTAACCAGGACTAGGCCTGGTCCATCCCTAATCACCTAGGTAACCAATACTAGGCCTGGCCCATCCCTAATCACCTAGGCAACCAGTACTAGGCCTGGTCCATCCCTAATCACCTAGGTAACCAATACTAGGCCTGGCCCATCCCTAATCACCTAGGCAACCAGTACTAGGCCTGGTCCATCCCTAATCACCTAGGTAACCAATACTAGGCCTGGCCCATCCCTAATCACCTAGGCAACCAGTACTAGACCTGGTCCATCCCTAATCACCTAGGCAACCAGTACTAGGCCTGGTCCATCCCTAATCACCTAGGCAACCAGTACTAGACCTGGTCCATCCCTAATTACCTAGGCAACCAGTACTAGGCCTGGTCCATCCCTAATCACCTAGGCAACCAGTACTAGGCCTGGTCCATCGCTAATCACCTAGGTAACCAGTACTAGGCCTGGCCCATCCCTAATCACCTAGGTAACCAGGACTAGGCCTGGTCCATCCCTAATCACCTAGGCAACCAGTACTAGGCCTGGCCCATCCCTAATCACCTAGGTAACCAGGACTAGGCCTGGTCCATCCCTAATCACCTAGGCAACCAGTACTAGGCCTGGCCCATCCCTAATCACCTAGGTAACTACGACTAGGCCTGGTCCATCCCTAATCACCTAGGTAACCAGTACTAGGCCTGGTCCATCCCTCATCACCTAGGCAACCAGTACTAGACCTGGTCCATCCCTAATCACCTAGGTAACCAGTACTAGGCCTGGTCCATCGCTAGTCACCTAGGTAACCAGTACTAGGCCTGGCCCCTCCCTAATCACCTAGGTGACCAGTACTAGGCCTGGTCGATCCCTCATCACCTAGGCAACCAGTACTAGGCCTGGTCGATCCCTCATCACCTAGGCAACCAGTACTAGGCCTGGCTCATCCCTAATCACCTCGGTAACCAGTACTAGGCCTGGCTCATCCCTCATCACCTAGGCAACCAGTACTAGGCCTGGTCCATCCCTCATCACCTAGGCAACCAGTACTAGGCCTGGCCAATCCCCAATCACCTAGGCAACCAGTACTAGGCCTGGCCCATCCCTAATCACCAAGGTAACCAGGACTCGGCCTGGTCCATCGCTAATCACCTAGGTAACCAGGACTAGACCTGTCCCATCCCTAATCACCTAGGCAACCAGTACTAGACCTGGTCCATCCCTCATCACCTAGGCAACCAGTACTAGACCTGGCCTATCCCTAATCACCTAGGCAACCAGTACGAGGCCTGGCCCATCCCTAATCACCTAGGCAACCAGTACTAGACCTGTCCCATCCCTAATCACCTAGGCAACCAGTACTAGACCTGGTCCATCCCTCATCACCTAGGCAACCAGTACTAGACCTGGCCTATCCCTAATCACCTAGGCAACCAGTACGAGGCCTGGCCCATCCCTAATCACCTAGGCAACCAGTACTAGACCTGTCCCATCCCTAATCACCTAGGCAACCAGTACTAGGCCTGGCCAATCCCCAATCACCTAGGCAACCAGTACTAGGCCTGGCCCATCCCTAATCACCAAGGTAACCAGGACTCGGCCTGGTCCATCGCTAATCACCTAGGTAACCAGGACTAGACCTGTCCCATCCCTAATCACCTAGGCAACCAGTACTAGACCTGGTCCATCCCTCATCACCTAGGCAACCAGTACTAGACCTGGCCTATCCCTAATCACCTAGGCAACCAGTACGAGGCCTGGCCTATCCCTAATCACCTAGGCAACCAGTACTAGACCTGGTCCATCCCTCATCACCTAGGCAACCAGTACTAGACCTGGTCCATCCCTCATCACCTAGGCAACCAGTACGAGGCCTGGCCCATCCCTAATCACCTAGGCAACCAGTACTAGACCTGTCCCATCCCTAATCACCTAGGCAACCAGTACTAGACCTGGTACATCCCTCATCACCTAGGCAACCAGTACTAGACCTGGCCTATCCCTAATCACCTAGGCAACCAGTACGAGGCCTGGCCCATCCCTAATCACCTAGGCAACCAGTACTAGACCTGGCCTATCCCTAATCACCTAGGCAACCAATACTAGGCCTGGCCCATCCCTAATCACCTAGGCAACCAGTACGAGGCCTGGCCAATCCCTAATCACCTAGGCAACCAGCACTAGGCCTGGCCCATCCCTAATCACCTAGGTAACCAGGACTAGGCCTGGTCCATCGCTAATCACCGAGGTAACCAGTACTCGGCCTGGCTCATCCCTCATCACCTAGGCAACCAGTACTAGGCCTGGCCCATCCCTCATCACCTAGGCAACCAGTCTAGGCCTGGTCCATCCCTAATCACCTGGGTAACCAGTACTAGGCCTGGTCCATCCCTAACCCCCTAGGCAACCAGCACTAGGCCTGGCTCATCCCTCATCACCTAGGCAACCAGTACTAGGCCTGGCCCATCCCTAATCACCTGGGCAACCAGCACTAGGCCTGGCCCATCCCTAATCACCTAGGTAACCAGGACTAGGCCTGGTCCATCGCTAATCACCTCGGTAACCAGTACTAGGCCTGGCCCATCCCTCATCACCTAGGCAACCAGTACTAGGCCTGGCTCATCCCTCATCACTAAGGCAACCAGCACTAGGCCTGGCTCATCCCTCATCACCTAGGCAACCAGTACTAGGCCTGGTCCATCCCTCATCACCTAGGCAACCAGTACTAGGCCTGGTCCATCCCTAATCACCTGGGCAACCAGTACTAGGCCTGTTCTTCCCTAATCAGTCCCACGCCCCCATCACCCAGCCTCACGGTGCACAGCCACGTGGACGTGACAGGCCACATTTTTATTATTTTAAAAACAAGAAATGGGCACAGAAAAAAAACCCAGCAACCAACATTGTCCACCCCCTTACCGGCCAGACTACTACACGGGGGGGGGGGGGGGGGGGGTGGACGTCGCGTACCTTGGTGACACAACTCCACGGAGGTCACCATCGTCGTTGACGTCGCGGGGGTAAAGAACAACAACAAAACACCGCCACACACCTCCTGTGACGACACGATACCACGCGCCGCTCGCTTCGCCCGCACGTGTCGCCACCGGCGCCGCGTGAATATATAAATGTGTCTAGATTTGAAGCTTTCGTGACTGCAAGGATTCACACTCTTAGTTCTGTCGGTAAAGTCACGTAGGTAAAAAATGAAATTAAAATTTCGATTTAAAGCTTTCGTGACTGCAGGGATTCATCTTCTTGGTTCTTTCGGTAAAAAAGTCACGTGACTTTACCGAAAGAACCAAGAAAATGAAATTAAAATTAATAAAAAATAAATCACGACGTTTCGGAGGCAACACAAGTCTCCGTCATCAGGTGGGACCGTCACAGCCAGATTTGCTGCATCAAGTGAAAACAGGAAATCAGATTTTTTTTTTTATGCAGCAAATCTGGCTGTGACGGTCCCACCTGATGACGGAGACTTGTGTTGCCTCCGAAACGTCGTGATTTTATCGTTTTATTTTTATTAATTTTAATTAAATTTTTTACCTACGTGACTTTACCGACAGAACTAAGAGTATATAAATGTGTCGTTAAACCCGCCACCACCCGGCACGGCCAACAACTTAGTGAGGGTTGTCACGTGAACAGAACGCGGCCAATTCGTCGCTAGTCCAGCACACCGGTACGTTACCACGTGCTGTTCACAAGCTCTCACTATTCGGCCGTGTCGGGTGGTGGCGGGTTCAACGGCACGCACTAATATAAAGCCCACGTGGTTAAACAGACAGACAATAATAATTATTATTATAATTTTAAATAAAAGTGCTCTCACAGAAACTACTCCATCTGGAGGAGAGAGGAGGGGAGGGGGGGAAACACAACAGCAGCAATCGTCATCCCCTACTGGGAAGGAGAAAAACAAGTGAACTAATAATCGTTGACAGGAGCGTCCTGATCAAGGAGTCTCGATAATCGGTGAGGCTTTGCCGGACAAAACAAGCTTAGTAAATTATCATCACAACTACAACAATAATAATGACGTTAACGATCATCTGTGGCAGCCTTGTGCCACGAGATGACGCCGCCAATACCAAAGTGTACGTCTCCTCGGCTTGACGTCCATTCTTGTGGATTGAAAAGGCAACGTGGTGATGGGGGGAGGGGGGAGGTGGAGGGGGGGGGGAGATTGGGCGACGTTAATTAGCTTCGCGAGTTCGCGATGGCCAACCTCGCTCTCACGCCGGCCGACCTGACCCTCTGCCCTCTACCCACGCACACTTACCAAGCTGGCCAGGGATACCAGCTGTGCCACTATCCCAGAACCCACCAGGCCAACCAGACGACCCATCCCTGCCCTGCCCGTAGGGTTTATCGACATCACCAACCCGCTTGCCCAGCATTCGTCACGCCATTGCAACCACACCGGCGAACCAGAATCACCGATCGCACGCCGAATCACGAAGCGCACCAGCCGACCGAACACACGAGCACTTAGAGCGACCCACAGTGGCCGAGCAGGGCTCTGTAGCCGACACCCCCCTAACCCCAATCCTGCAGTGGCTGACCTGTGTCTACCGCACCCACCAACCCCCCACCACCCTCCAACCCCTTTTGGTGGTCTTATCGTCGTCGTCGTCATCATCATCAGCCGTGATTAACGCACAGCTGGATGAAAGTCTCCCCTACGTGACGCCGCGATGGGATGGGTGCTTTAAATCTCTCTCGCTCTCTCCACCCTGATAGGGCAAGCCCAGGGTCAGGTCAAGAGGTCGCGCTGTTGTTCTAAGGCAAGGCGTCTAGCCGAGGGTGAGGCGGGCGAGGAGGGCGAGGAGGGTGAGGAGGAGGTGAGAGACGTGCGAGCAGCCACGGCGTCAGCCCTCCGCTAGCGTCCTCTTGACTTGGTGTCCGCCTCCCCCTTGGTTCTTTGCTTCTTCGCTTTCCTGGGGAGAGAGAAAGACGAGAAACCTGAGACGGACGCTCAACTCCCGGCCACAATCATCCCCAGCGATGACAAATCCCCTTCAAAGCCACTCGATTGAGATCACAACAAAGATCCCCTGACCCCCCCACCGCGCAGCCTTGACAGACCGAAGGCCGGCACCTATGAAGGCCGGCACGGCACACGAGGGGGTGGGTGGCCAGCGCCACGCCCGGCCGCCTTTGTCTCCCCAACGCCCGAGGGGAGGCCCAGGACCGATTCGGATAATCACCACCGGTGTTGGCCGTGAGCGGGAATTGAACTCGGGTTGCCCGGTTCGAAGCACAGAGCGGTAACCGTTGCACCACCGCTCCCTACCACCGCCGGCGCCACTAAGTGGCGGTGAAGTCACCATAACGCCGGTGTCAGGCCAGGTGCACTTTGAGGCCATCGCACAAAGTGTCGAAGGCTCGCCGCTGGCAGGAGGTCCACCGGACGGACCCGGCGGGTGCCACGGGTTGACCGACCGAGACAACCGGCAGACGTGCCCCCGCCGTGCCCCCCGCCCGTGCCCCCCACTGTGCCAGGCCGGGTGCAGCAATTCACGGGACGGACCGGGCGGGTGCCACGTATAGTGTAGTGTATAGTAGTGTAGTATATAGTGTAGTGTATGGTAGTGTAGTGTATAGTAGTGTAGTGTATAGTAGTGTAGTGTATAGTAGAGTAGTGTATAGTATAGCAGTGTATAGTAGTGTAGTGTGTAGTGTATAGTAGTGTATAGTGTAGTGTATAGTGTAGTGTGTAGTGTAGTGTATAGTGTAGTGTGTAGTGTAGTGTATAGTAGTGTAGTGTATAGTGTAGTGTATAGTGTAGTGTGTAGTGTATAGTAGTGTAGTGTATAGTAGTGTAGTGTATAGTAGAGTAGTGTATAGTAGTGTAGTGTTTAGTGTAGTGTATAGTGTAGTGTATAGTAGTGTAGTGTATAGTAGTGTAGTGTATAGTGTAGTGTATAGTAGTGTATAGTAGTGTAGTGTATAGTGTAGTGTATAGTAGTGTATAGTAGTGTATAGTGTAGTGTATAGTAGTGTATAGTGTAGTGTATAGTAGTGTATAGTAGTGTATAGTGTAGTGTATAGTGTATAGTAGTGTAGTGTATAGTGTAGTGTACAGTAGTGTAGTGTTTAGTGTAGTGTATAGTGAAGTGTATAGTGTAGTGTATAGTGTAGTGTATAGTAGTGTAGTGTATAGTAGTGTAGTGTATAGTGTAGTGTATAGTAGTGTAGTGTATAGTGTAGTGTATAGTGTAGTGTATAGTAGTGTAGTGTATAGTGTAGTGTATAGTAGTGTAGTATATAGTGTAGTGTATAGTGTAGTGTATAGTGTAGTGTAGTGTATAGTGTAGTGTATAGTAGTGTAGTGTATAGTAGAGTAGTGTATAGCACAGCAGTGTATAGTAGTGTACAGTGTAGTGTATAGTGTAGTGTATAGTGTAGTGTATAGTATAGCAGTGTATAGTAGTGTATAGTGTAGTGTATAGTATAGTGTATAGTGTAGTGTATAGTAGTGTAGTGTATAGTGTAGTGTATAGTAGTGTAGTGTATAGTAGTGTAGTGTATAGTGTATAGTGTAGTGTATAGTGTAGTGTATAGTGGTGTAGTGTATAGTGTAGTGTATAGTGTAGTGTATAGTAGTGTAGTGTATAGTAGTGTAGTGTATAGTGTAGTGTATAGTGTAGTGTATAGTGTAGTGTATAGTGGTGTAGTGTATAGTGTAGTGTATAGTGTAGGGTATAGTAGTGTAGTGTATAGTAGTGTAGTGTATAGTGTAGTGTATAGTGTAGTGTATAGTGTAGTTTAGGGGGGGGGGGGGGGCGGCCGCTCACTTCGAGCGCTCGTAGTCCTCGTCGCCGAGCAGGCCGCGGAAGAGGAAGTCGTCGAACTCCTCGCCGAGGTCGTCGTCGTCGCGGTAGCCCAGCTCCTGCTGCGCGTGGTCCTCCAGGAAGTGCTCCACGGCCTCCACAAAGTCGCGGAAGAGCGCCCGCTCGTGCGCAAAGAGGCCCGTGGCGGGCGAGAAGTAGGGCGCCACGCGCCGGTCCAGCTCCTCCCAGCCGCGGAAGCCCCGCAGCCTGTCGGCGTAGGCCCGGAGCAGCGGGGCGAAGTCGCCGGCGCTCACGGGGCCCCGCGACTTGCCGAAGAGGCGCAGGAACTCCTGGGCGGCGCAGGCCTCCACGCCGCTGCAGTTCTCGGGGGCACGCACGTGGAACCGCTTCTCCCGCTTCTCCCGCCGCCGCTGCTTCTCCCGCTTCTCCGCCCCCCGGTCGCCCTCCTCGTGCGCGGGGGGCGACCGCCGTTTGCCGTGACGCTCGCTCCGGGCGGCTGCACGTCCCTCGGGGCCGTGACGCTTCTGCCGCTCGCCGCGGTCGCCCCTCTCGTCGCGGCGGCCGTCTTCGTGCGGATGCGCCGACGCCCCTCCGCCGCCGCCGCCGCCGCCCTTGCCGGGCTTCCCCGGCACTCGCCGTCCCTCCCCGCCGCCCCGTCGCGAGCCGTCGGGGGAATCGCCGCCCGACCGCGGCCGCCCGGCCCGCTCGCCGGCCTCGCCGCCTTCCCCCGGGGAGCGTCCGCGATGCGGAGGCCTCGCGGGGCGCGTGGGGCCGGCCTCGGGAGCCTGCGGCGTCGCCCCGCGTGACGCGCCGCCTCCTGCTTCTGCTTCTTCTTCTTCGTCCTCCGATTCGTCGGAATCCGAGACGCCGTCCGAGACGTTCGCGTCTTCGGCGGCGCCGTCGGCGTTACCCCCCTCGGGGTCGCCCGGCCGTTCGTCGCCCGCCAACTTGGGGCCTCTCCGTGCGGCGACATCCAAGAGCCGTGAGCGCTCCTCCTCCTCCGCCGATGACGACGACGATGACGACGACGACGCCGACTCAGGTGCCCCCGGCTCCGGTGGCAGCGCCGACTCCGCCGCGTCCGGCTCACCACCGCCGAAGATGTTCCACCAGTAGGTCTGAAGCGGCAAAAAGGCAAGGTTCCTCATCACCACCACCAGCATATCCACCACCTCCACCACATTCACCACCACCACCACCACATCCACCACCGCCACCAGCAGCATATCCACCACCTCCACCACCGCCATATCCACCACCTCCTCCACTACCACCACCACCACCTCCACCACCACCACATCCACCACCACCACCACCCCTACCATATCCACCATATCCTCCACCACCACCATATCCACCACCTTCACCTTCACCAGCACCATCACCACCATCATCACCATCACCACCATCATCATCACCATCACCACCACCATCATATTCACCACCACCATCACCACCACCATCACCATCATCACCATCACCACCACCATCACCACCACCACCACCACCATCACCACCACCACCATCACCACCACCACCATCACCACCACCATCACCATCACCACCACCACACCACCATCACCACCACACCACCATCACCACCACACTACCATCACCATCATCACCATCACCACCACCATCACCACCACCACCACCACCATCACCACCACCACCATCACCACCACCACACCACCTGCTGTTCCTGTGGAGTCTCCGCCTCGTCGCCCGCCAGGAACCCGCCGTCGTCACCGTCACTGGCCCAGTCGTCGCCGGGGAGGAAGAGGCCTGGGGAGCGCAGAGGCCTCACGCATCTCAACGTTCATCTTGCACCGACACAGTCCCATCACGAGGGAGTAACACACACAAGTAGACTTGTGCGCGTTGTTTTTTTAAACTAAAATTTCCCATACAAGGATACGGGGTAAACCATATGGGTTGATAGGTATGCTTACTATACTCTACACTACTATACTATACACTACTCTATACACTACACTAGTACACTATACACTACTATACACTACACTACCATACACTACTCTACCATACACTACACTACCATACACTACACTATACACTACTATGCTATACACTACACTACTACACACTACACTACTCTACACTACATTATACACTATACTATACACTACACTACTCTACACTATACACTACACTATACACTATACTACTACACACTACACAACATTATACACTATACTATACACTACACTACTCTACACTATACACTACACTATACTACTACACACTACACTACTCTACACTACATTATACACTATACTATACACTACACTACTCTAAACTCGACAGCTCCCCCCGGCGTCTGCCTAAGCTCCGATAACCCCAGCAGGAGAAGGGGGAGGGGTGGGGGGGAACGGAGGCGGGGGGGGTGGGGGGGTGAGGGGGGGACTGCCTAAATGCCCTCGTGAATTCTCTTCAGAATCGAGTCCCGCTGGAGGAGAGGCAGCGAAGGGGGTTCCACACCGCGGCCGTCTGGCTCGCGGCGTTCATCTGGGGGGGCCGCTCCCCCCCCACGCCCCCCCCCCAGACCCCCCCCCCGCCCCCCCCCACGCTCTTCCCGTGGCGGTTGTCCGATGCGAGCACTCGCCGAGTATCCGCGAGAAGAGCATGTGGACTGCGAGGACGACGAGGATGGCGAGGATGCACTTGTTGATGATGCCGCCGCTGCCGCCGCCAGCGCCACCGCCGCCCCTCCGCTCCTCCTCCGCTGCGGCGTCTACGTCGTCACCGCCGCCGCCGTCGGCCCGGCCGAGCGTGCGGGCGGCCGGCGCGGCGGCCCGGGCCTGGCGCTTGCGCAGCCGCGGCACGAGGCGAGCCGCCTCGTCGTGGCTCGACACGTCCTCCTCAGAGACCTCGAAGCCTGCCGGGGGGGGTGGGGGGCGGGTGGGGGGGTGGGGGGTGGGTGGGGGGGTGGGGGGTGGCATCATCGACACGGTCGTATTTGTCGATGTCGTCAACGTCGTCGTCATCAGTCAACGTCGTCGTCGTAGTCAACATCAACATCACCGTCGTGGACATCAACATCATCGTCGTCAAACATTGTCATTATCGTCAACATCGCCAACATCGCCGCCATCGTCGTCGTAGTCAACATCTACATCACCGTCGTCAACATCGTCAACATCGTCGTCGTCATAGTCAACATCCATATCACCGTCGTCGAGATTGACAGCAACATCAACATCGTCAACATCGCCAACATCGTCAAACATCGTCAACATCGTCAACATCGTCGCCATCGCCGCCATCAACACGGTCGGCGGCGCGCGGCTCACCCAGGTAGACTTTGCGGGGCGACTTCCCGCGGACGGGCGACGTCGCCGCGGCCTCCGGCTCCGGCTGGCTCGCCCCAAACAAGTCCGCCGAGTCCATCACGCGAGAGCGGATCTCCTCCACCGCGCCGGGTCGCTCCGGTGCCGGCGGCGGCGGCGGTGGCTCTTCCCATCGGTGCCGGGGGTCGAGTCGGGGCGACGATTCGGCGCGTCCACCAACCTCCGCGCTCGCCCACACCTCCTGCTCATCCTCTTGCTCCTCCTCCTCCGCTCCACCCCCGAGGTCACGGCTCCCCGAGCCGGATTCCGAGCGGCCGGGCTCGCGGCTCGTGCCGTTGCCGTGTCCCCCGAACTCCGAGATCACTTCCTGTCCATCCCGTTGATTTTCAGAGTTAAAATTAAAAACAAGAAAAACGCCGCCGACTTCCAAGGTGGAGGGGCGTCGCGATGCTCGACGTTAGGTGGAACCCTCCTCGCGATGAAAGTCAGGACCACCACCACAGCGTGGGGGGGGCGGAGGGGGGAATCACGTGGGGACGCGACCCAAGGATAACGCCGAGAAAGGAAAACTCTAAAAGTTTCCCGAACACTTCGGCGCCAATTCTGAGGACCGTCCCGCAGAGAGAGAAAGAGAGCAGTAGGCGATGGAGGAGGCCGTGTGCTCGGTGGCAGATGACGGGGAGCTCTGCATGCTGATATGAGCTACATTCTACAACGTCGGAGGCCGTTGGACTGTGAGAAGGGCTGCGTGCAGAACGAGAGGGTGAGCGAGAGAGTGAGCGAGAGAGCGAGCGAGCGAGAGAGTGAGAGAGTGAGCGAGAGAGTGAGCGAGAGAGCGAGCGAGCGAGAGAGTGAGAGAGTGAGCGAGAGAGTGAGCGAGAGAGCGAGCGAGCGAGAGAGTGAGAGAGTGAGCGAGAGAGTGAGCGAGAGCAAAGTTATTTTAAAAAAATTACGAAATGATGAACGAAGCAAAGTGCCGACTACACCGAGCATCTTCTTGTTTCCACTGATCGTAAAAAAAAAAAGAGAGGGAGGGAGTTCGACGTTTTAGGCGCCGCACTCGAGAAGGGCCCCTGCCGCTCCCGCCCCGTGTAGAGCGACAAGTTGTCTCAGGGCCTGGGCCGGAAGAGCGCAAGTCGAGCCTCCACCACCACGTGGGTCAGAGGTCGCCACTGGGTACCCGATACCCGCACCCTACCCGATACCCGCACCCTACCCGATACCCGAACCCTACCCGATACCCGTACCCTACCCGATACCCGTACCCTACCCGATACCCGCACCCTACCCGATACCCGCACCCTACCCGATACCCGTACCCTACCCGATACCCGAACCCTACCCGATACCCGAACCCTACCCGATACCCGTACCCTACCCGATACCCGCACCCTACCCGATACCCGCACCCTACCCGATACCCGTACCCTACCCGATACCCGAACCCTACCCGATACCCGTACCCTACCCGATACCCGTACCCTACCCGATACCCGCACCCTACCCGATACCCGTACCCTACCCGATACCCGTACCCTACCCGATACCCGTACCCTACCCGATACCCGTACCCTACCCGGCCGGGTACGAGTAAGGAATCAAAACCCGTTTGCGACCTCTGGTCTGGGCGGACAGACGGGACCGTGGGTACGTGAGACCAAGGCTGAACTCAGTGTTGTTTTTGTTATCGATTGTTATTGGTAATTGCTGCTATTATCGATTGTTGTGATTTATTATTATTACCATTGTTATTATTTTGGCTTATTATTAATGAGTATTTTTGTTATTGGTATTGATTATTTTTATTAGTATTGTTATTAATGAGTATTATTGTTCTTGTCATCGATAATAATTGTTGTGGATTTCTATTGACTATTGTTAGTATTCAGCGCAGCAGCAACAACAACAACAACGACACCGCGCGTCGTTTGGCGCAACACTTCAAATTCCCTCGGCAGAGCGCTGCGCCGAGCACGAAGCTCGGCCACAGGGTGGCGCTTCGGCACAACGCCAGCTGCAGCAGCTGCAGCAGCGGCAGCAGCAGTAGCAGCAACAGCAGCGTCAGCAGCAGCAGCAGCAGCGTCAGCAGCAGCTGCAGTATCAGCAGCAGCAGTATCAGCAGCAGCAGTATCAGCAGCAGCAGAAGCGTCAGCAGCAGCTGCAGTATCAGCAGCAGTATCATCAGCAGCAGTAGCAGCAGTAGCAGCAGTAGCAGCAGTAGCAGCAGCCGATTCATCCCCGACACCGCACGTCGCAAACAGCGGTCGGTCCGCCCCCCCCCCCCGCTCGCAACGACGCGTGCGGCTTCCACGACACGTAACGCGGACGAACGCACCGGGGGACACGTTGACGACGCGTTGACGACGCGCTGACGTCGCGTTCACGTCGCGTTCACGACGCGCTCACGACGCGCTCACGTCGCGTTCACGACGCGCTCACGTCGCGTTCACGACGCGTTCACGACGCGTTGACGTCGCGCTCACGTCGCGTTCACGTCGCGTTCACGACGCGTTCACGACGCGTTCACGACGCGCTCACGTCGCGTTCACGACGCACTCACGACGCGTTGACGTCGCGCTCACGACGCGCTCACGTCGCGTTCACGACGCGCTCACGACGCGTTCACGACGCACTCACGACGCGTTCACGACGCGTTCACGACGCGCTCACGACGCGCTCACGACGCACTCACGTCGCGTTCACGACGCGTTCACGACGCGCTCACGACGCGTTCACGACGCGCTCACGACGCGCTCACGACGCGTTCACGACGCACTCACGACGCGTTCACGACGCGTTCACGACGCGCTCACGTCGCGTTCACGACGCGCTCACGACGCGTTCACGACGCGTTCACGACGCGCTCACGACGCGTTCACGACGCGTTCACGACGCGCTCACGACGCGTTGACGTCGCGCTCACGACGCGTTCACGACGCACTCACGACGCGTTGACGTCGCGCTCACGACGCGTTCACGACGCGCGAGCGGGGGCGGAACGTGACCGCGTCGCGGTCGGTCGCACGTCTGCCACGGCGCATCGTCGCGCGCCTCGGCGTTGGGGGGCGTTTGGGGGGGGGTGGTGGGGATGCTGCTGGATGCTTCTGCGACGCTACCCACCGCGCGCCTCACGCAACTCGTGCGTTCTCTCGCAGACTGTGCTTTACCCCCCCCCCCAACTTCAAGGACAGTGCAAACATCATCAGAGTTATGTTTTTGTTTGCATTACGACTGCAGGTATTGTGGTCTATGCAAACATGACTCCTTGTAAAAAAGGTGTCAGTTTTGTTGCCAGATAGAAGGGTAAAAAAATAATTATCATATTTGTTTTACTGGCAAATGAGGTTCCAATGGTGTAAATGCTTACCCCGAGCTCTCATACTCTGATGGTGCATTGTCTTTTGAGTTGTGCGCCTTTGGGCGTCATCTGGTCCAACACCATGTGAGACTAGGCTCTAAGGAAAGCTGTCTCGGGTGTGGACCAACCAACTTCAAGGACAGTGCATACATTATCAGAGTTATGTTTTTTGTTTGCATTACGACTGCAGGTATTGTGGTCTATGCAAACATGACTCCTTGTAAAAAAGGTGTCAGTTTTGTTGCCAGATAAAAAGGTAAAAAAACAATTATCATATTTTTTTCTTCTGGCAAATGAGGTTCCAATGGTGTGTGTTTTATTCTTTTGGGAGGTGTGTGTGTGGGGGGGGGGGGGGCACGCAGCGACGACGACTACCGTGGCATTATGAGAGCACGCGGTGTTTGTGGGGGGCGTGGAGGAAGAGGGGGGGGGGGTCGAGCCCCCGGGTCCGACGACGGAGGGAGATGCAAGCGGCGGGGGCGGTCGCGGCGTCTCGTGCGCTGCTCAGAGCACAGCTCCCACGCACAGCTGTCCAGGGGGAGATATTCTTAGCGCCACGCTCCCGGACTGTTACTCGTTCTCCTATCATCCCCACTCCATCCACTCCCCTCCCCCACTCCCCCCCGGGGCCGTGATCCAGCAACAGTTTCCACACCCGATCGCTATTTTTGCCCGAGTGACGTCCGACTCGGAACGAATGAGAGAGAGAGAGACAGAGAGAGACACGGAGAGAGACACGGGAGAGACAGAGAGATGGAATGAGAGACAGGGGAGAGACAGGGGGGAGAGAGACACGGAGAGAGAGACAAGGGGGAGAGACACAAAGTGAGAGACACGGAGAGAGAGAGAGACAGGGGGGAGAGACAGAGGGGAGACAGAGACATGGAGTGAGAGACAGGGGGAGAGAGACAGAGACAGGGAGTGAGAGACAGGGGAGAGACAAGGGGGAGAGACACGTGGGAGAGACACGGGGGGAGAGACACGGGGGAGAGAAAAACAGGGGGGAGTGAGAGACACGGAGTGAGAGACACAGGGGAGAGACACGGAGTGAGAGACACGGAGTGAGAGACAAGGGGGAGAGACACGGAGTGAGAGACACGGGGAGAGAGAGACACGGGGGGAGAGAGACACGGGGAGAGAGAGACACGGGGAGAGAGAGACACGGGGAGAGAGAGACACGGGGAGAGAGAGACACGGGGAGAGAGAGACACGGGGAGAGAGAGACACGGGGAGAGAGACACGGGGAGAGAGACACGGGGAGAGAGAGACACGGGGAGAGAGAGACACGGGGAGAGAGAGACACGGGGAGAGAAAGACACGGGGAGAGAGAGACACGGGGAGAGAGAGAGACAGGAGGGAGTGAGACACGGAGTGAGAGTGGGAGACGTAGTGAGACACGGAATGAGAGACAGGAGAGAGAGACACGGGAGAGAGAGAGAGACAGGGGAGAGAGATATTCTTAGGTTTTTTCGGTAAAGTCACGTAGGTAAAACATTAAAATTAATAAAAAAAGGGGAGAGAGAGACACGGAGAGAGAGACACGGGAGAGAGACAGGGGGGGGGGGGAGACAGGGGGGAGAGAGAGACACGCAGTGAGAGAAAGAGAGAGATAAAAATAAAACGTAGAAAGTCGAAGTGATGCTCCCTCGCAGCGCGGCGGGTCGTGTCCGAGAAGGGGGAGCAAAAGTCAACGGACGCGGAGAAGTTGCCGGGTTACATCTTTTCGTTTTTTTTTACGCCGAGAGATAGAGGAGAGGATTGCGTGGATTAGATGGTGACACATAGATAAAGGTCCCCCGCCACCCCCCCCGGTATAGCCTCAACAGACTGTCGGGGCAAGTGCTCTGAGCGAGCAGCACCTATGAAGGCCGGCACGGCACACGAGGGGGTGGGTGGCCAGCGCCACGCCCGGCCGCCTTTGTCTCCCGAGTGGCGATGTTTACACGTCGTACCGGGTACTCATTTGAGGCCGAGTCGACCTAGGGGAGGCCCAGGACCGGTTCAGATAATCGTCGCCGGTGTTAGTGGCCGTGAGCGGGAGTCGAACTCGGGTCGCCGGGTTCGTAGCGCAGCGTGGCGCTAACCGCTGCACCACCGCTCCCCATAGGTGAAACACACAAACGCAAGTGCACAAGTCAGAGGACATCATTGTCATCATCATCATCACGCTGATCTTCACCCAGCAGTGGATAGAACATGATGATGATGACGACGACGATGGATTTAGAGGACACGCAAAGATTAATTCGTTTGCACTCCGATTGTGTTTGTGCGTGTGTCTCTGTGTGTCTCTGTGTGTCCCTACGTGTGTCTCTACGTGTGTCTCTACGTGTCTCTGTGCGTCTCTACGTGTCTCCGTGCGTGTCTCCGCGCGTGTCTCCACGCGTGTCTCCGCATGTCTCTGTGTGTCTCTGTCTCTGTGAGTCTCTGTGTGTCTCTGCGTGTGTCTCTGTGTATCTCTGTGTATCTCTATGTGTCTCTGCGTGTCTCTGCGTGTCTCTGCGTGTCTCCGCGCTTGTCTCTGTGTGTCTCTGCACGTGTCTCTGTGTGTCTCTGTGTCTCTACGTGTCTCGGTGTGTCTCTCCGTGTCTCTGTGTGTCTCTGTGTGTCTCCGCACGTGTCTCTGTGTGTCTCTGCGTGTCTCCGCGCGTGTCTCCGTGCGTCTCTGTTGTCGTAACGTTCTGACCCCATGCCCCCTACTGGACATCTGTAAAACAAAGAGCTTCATGGCTGATTGCATTCCTTCTCCAGAAAAAATAAATACTGTGATGACGACGACGACGACACCATTATCCACACTTAGTAGAAGCAAGTTGGGGGGGCGGCGCGGGGTCGGACGCGTCACGGCGCGGGAGATGTTGACTACCTCGCCTGGTGTACAGGAGGTCGCGGGTTTGATCCCGAACCCTGACACCTGCTGCTGTTGTATATTTGGAGTTTGCGTGTCTCTCTCATCATCACGGTGGCTATGAGATGTTGACTACCTCGCCTGGTCTACAGGAGGTCGTGAATTCGATCCCGACCCTGACGCCTGCTGTTGTATATTTGGAATTTGCGGTGTCTCTCTCTCTCTCATCATCAACACGGTGGCTATGAGATGTTAACTACCTCGCCTGGTCTACAGGAGGTCGTGGGTTCGATCCCGACCCCTGACGACGCCTGCTGCTGCTGTACACGTGGAGTCTGCGTGTCTCTCTCTGTCTCCCCGTGGCCGCGTGGATTTTTCTCAGGGCCCACCGGTTTTCCCCCCTCCACATTTGAGAATCGCAACGTCCACGCGTTTAGAGCACTCGGTGGGGCTTGCTACAAATGTCCGCGCGATGGTGGCGATGAGCCACTTGGTTGAGCTATCAGTCGTGATCGCCCGGTCGCTTGGGTCAAATAAAACGTTCAGCTTCATTGATTCTTCATAATATCCCCCACGCCCCCGACTGTTGATTCTGTTGTTTCTTTAAGTTCACGTTTCAGACGCATGGTGGCAACAATCATCGCACGGCAGACGATGATGGTGACGACAACAATGACGGTGACGACGGCGGTGACGACGACAATGACGGTGACGACGGCGGTGACGACAACAATGACGGTGACGACGGCGGTGACGACAACGATGACAACAACAATGACGGTGACGACGGCGGTGACGACGACAATGACAACAACAATGACGGTGACGACGGCGGTGACGACAACGATGACGTTACCTGGCTCTGCTGGCTGTGGTCGCTGGGAGCGTGAGCGCCGTCCGTGTCTGTGAACGGCACGAGACAGACAGAGAGACACAGAGAGAGACAGAAAGACAAACAGAGAGACAGAAAGAGACAGAGAGAGAGACAGAGAGAGACAGAGAGAGTCAGACAGAGAGACAGACAGAGAGATACAGAGAGAGAGACACACAGAGACAGAGAGATAAAGAGACAGAGAGAGACACAGAGACAGAGAGATAAAGAGACAGAGAGAGACACAGAGACAGAGAGAGACAGACAGAGAGACAGAGAAAGACAGAGAGAGAGACAGACAGAGAGACAGAGAGAGACAGATAGAGAGAGACACAGAGAGACAGACAGAGACAAAGAGAGACAGAGCGACAGAGCGACAGATAGAGACAGAAAGACAGAGAGACAGAGACACAGAGAGACAGAGACAGACAGACAGACAAAGAGACAAAGAGAAAGAGAGACACAAAGACAGAGAGTGTCACCCGAAGATCAACCCACGGGTGGCAGCGGCGTTGTCGTCACGCGCCACGTGAACGGCACGGCCTCCGCGTGTATCCGTCCCGTCTCGCCACGGCATTTTATTGTGTATCTATATATATAAATGTAAACAGGGTGCTTCAAAAAGATGTTAACACTTACACGGGACCATCGTTTTTTACGGATAATAAACGGATAATATTACTCGGTAAAGTCACGTAGGTAAAAAATTAAAATTAATAAAAGTTAAATAATATACAGCAATCGTGCTGTGACGGTTCCACCTGAAGACGGAAGCTTGTGTTGCCTCCGAAACGTCGTGATTTTTATTTTATTTTTATTTTACTTTTATTAATTTAAATTTTTTACCTACGTGACTTTACCGAAAAAACCTAAGAATATGGATAATAGCTTCCAAAAGTCAAGGGGTCTCTCTGCTTGTCCGCCATCTGTGTCGACGCGTGGCCTGGAATCTTCTCCAAGTGATCTCCAGTATTGTTGCAAATTCTCTGAAGTGTTAACATCTTTTTGAAGCAACTTGTATAGAACGAAGACAAAGATCCCTCCCCGTGTAGCCTTAACAGACTGTAGGGGCAAGTGCTGTTAGCGAGCACCTACGAAGGCCGGCACGGCACACGAGGGGGGTGGGTGGCCAGCACCACGCCCGGCCGCCTTTGTCTCCCCAGTGGCGATGTTTTTACACGCCGCACCAGGTACTCATTTGAGGCTGAGTCGACCTAGAGGAGGAGGCCCAGGATAGGTTTAGATAAACGTCACTGGTGTTGTCAGTGAGTGGGAATCGAACTCGGGTCGCTGGGTTCGTAGCGCAGCGTAGCGCTAACCGCTACACTACCGCTCCCCACACATACACACACACATATATAGATACACACACACACACACTAGCTTTACTACCCGGCTTCGCCCGGGACTTGGATTCACGACGCCCGGCCGCCTTTGTCTCCCCAGTGGCGATGTTCAAACACCACACCAGTTCAATGTTTGAGGCTGATTCGACCTAGGGGAGGCCCAGGACCAGTTAAAATAATGGCCGCGAGCGGGAATCGAACTCGGGTCCGGGATTCGTAGCGCTACCTGCTACACTACAATGCGTTACGCTTCCACATGCGCGGGTCACGTGACAGATGTGACGTCACAGCTCAATTGCAGTGCAAAAAATAAATGCATTATTGAGCTTCCCCGCCCCCCACCCAAAAAAAAACATTAAGTGTATTTTTAGAATTTTTGCATAGTGTACAGTCTGGAAAGTACCCCTCCCTCCCCTCCCTCCCTCCCTCCCTCCCTCCCTCCCTCCCTCCCTCCCTCCCTCCCTCCCTCCCTCCCTCCCTCCCTCCCTCCCTCCCTCCCTCCTCCCTCCCTCCCTCCCTCCCTCCCTCCCTCCCTCCCTCCCTCCCTCCTCCTCCCTCCCTCCCTCCCTCCCTCCCTCCCTCCCTCCCTCCCTCCCTCCCCTCCCTCCCTCCCTCCCTCCCTCCCTCCCTCCCCCTCCATCCCTCCAATCGGTAACCACGTGGGTTGTGGGGAGGCGGTACGGAGATCTCCGTCATTGGACTCACCCTCCGTGATGACGAGGTCCTCCACGCGGCCCGGCTCATGGCCCTCCACGTGATCTGGCTCATGGCCCTCCACGTGACCCAGCTCATGGCCCGGGTCGTGGCCCAACTCGTGGCCCGGGTGGTGGAGTTTGTGTTGCACGGTGGGGATGTCCGGCACGACCTTGAGCGAGACGGGAGAGCCCTCCGGCAGCTGCAGGGGATTATCCGAGTCCATGGCTCCACCGCTGAGGCCAGACACAAAGAAGCACACACCGCCACCATCACCACCATCACTACCATTATCATCATCACCACCATCACCACCATCACCACCACCACCATCACCACCATCATCATCACCACCACCGCCACCACCATCACCACCACTACTACCATCTTTATCATCACCACCACCATCACCGCCACCATCACCACCACCGCCACCACCACCATCACCACCATCATCATCATCACCACCACCGCCATCACCACCATCACCACCACCACCCCCACCACCACTGCCACCTCCACTACCACCATCACCACCACCACAACCGCCACCACCACCCCCACCCCCACCTCCACCACCACCGCCACCACCACCCCCACTGCCACCTCCACCACTACCACCACTACCACCATCACCACCACCAACACCACCACCATCACCACCATCACCGCCATCACCACCACCACAGCTGCACGCCATGTGGACTAAACGGACGGCCACCGACAGCAGCAATCGTAGTGAGAGCGGCATCGCGACGTCGGCTCGCGATGCCGCACCGTCGCTGTGCGACATCGGCTCATCGCTCTCGCAGGGAAAGGGGGACACGCGGAGAGAGACAATCACACACTTGTGCCGAGGTGTGGAAACACCAAACGGAGACCTTCCGCGAGGAATCTTGTCCGCATTAGCCACACACACGGTACTTGCGGTGAACATGCAAACACACGTGCTCTGATCGTTTGCATGTCCGTTGCATGTTCATGTTCGTTGCATGTTCATGTTCGTTGCATGTTCACCGCAAGTATCGTGCGTGTGGATAATGCGAACAGGATTCCTTGCAAGAGGCCTCAGATTGGTGTTTTCACATCTTAGCACAACTGTTTGATTCCCAGAAAGGCTAAAACCTGTTCTTGTCGATACTGGCAATCAAGGGCCCCCCACTGGGGTTGGCATCTTTGCGGCGACCGCCTTCTCCTGGCAAAGCCGGGGGGGCAAGGGGGGGGGGAAGCTACGGCTCCTCCTCGACCCCCACCCACGGGTAGAAGGGAGGGAGTGTGGAACAGATGGGGATTAGTCCACACACTTCTGTAACCACCGTCATCCTGGAAAGGGGTGGGGGGAGTTGCGCAACGCCATCTCCGTGCGATCCGTCAACCCCCGCCCCGGCCGCTGGATGACAGCAACGGTCCCCCCACGACCCGGGCCGGCTTTGGGGACGGGGCGTGTTAGCGAGCGCCTATTAAGGTCGGCACGGGGTGCCGGCCGACGCGGGGGCTGGTGGTGTGTACAGGCGTTGCCCGGAGGGGTAATTTAAGGCTGAGTCGATCTAGGGGAGGGGCCCAAGACCGGTTAAAGCTGTTCCCTCACTGGGGCGTCGGCCGTGGTGCGGCTAAATGCTGCGCTGCCGCGCGGCTGAGACATCACGCACGAAGACACACACAGAGACACACGCAGAGACACACGCAGAGACACAAACCGAGACACAAACCTAGACACACGCGGAGACACACGCAGAGACACACACAGAGACACAAACCGAGACACAAACCTAGACACAAACCTAGACACACGCGGAGACACACGCAGAGACACACACAGAGACACAAACCGAGACACAAACCTAGACACACGCGGAGACACACGCAGAGACACACGCAGAGACACAGACAGAGACACAGACAGAGACACACGCAGAGACACCCAAATCTCAAAACCTTGAGACAAGGTCTCTCCGTGTCTCAAACCCCGAGTCTTAAAACCCTGAGACCTGGTCTCCCCGTGTCTCAAACCCTGAGTCTCAAACCCTTGCGACCAGGTCTCCCCGTGTCTCAAACCCCGAGTCTCAAAACCTTGAGACCTAGTCTCCCCGTGTCTCAAACCCTGAGACTCAAAACCTTGAGACAAGGTCTCTTCGTGTCTCAAACCCCGAGTCTCAAAACCTTGAGACCAGGTCTCCCCGTGTCTCAAACTCCGAGTCTCAAAACCTTGAGACCTAGTCTCCCCGTGTCTCAAACCCTGAGACTCAAAACCTTGAGACCAGGTCTTTCCGTGTCTCAAACCCCGAGTCTCAAAACCTTGAGACCTGGTCTCCCCGTGTCTCAAACTCCGAGTCTCAAAACCTTGAGACCTAGTCTCCCCGTGTCTCAAACCCTGAGTCTCAAAACCTTGAGACCAGGTCTCTCCGTGTCTCAAACCCCGAGTCTCAAAACCTTGAGACCAGGTCTCCCCGTGTCTCAAACCCCGAGTCTCAAAACCTTGAGACCTGGTCTCCCCGTGTCTTAAACTCCGAGTCACAAAACCTTGAGACCTGGTCTCCCCGTGTCTCAAACCCTGAGTCTCAAAACCTTGAGACCTGGTCTCTCCGTGTCTCAAACCCCGAGTCTCAAAACCTTGAGACCTGGTCTCCTCGTGTCTCAAACCCCGAGTCTCAAAACCTTGAGACCTGGTCTCCCCGTGTCTCAAAACCCGAGTCTCAAAACCTTGAGACCAGGTCTCCCCGTGTCTCAAACCCTGAGTCTCAAAACCCTGAGACCTGGTCTCTCCGTGTCTCAAAACCCGAGTCTCAAAACCTTGAGACCAGGTCTCCCCGTGTCTCAAACCCTGAGTCTCAAAACCCTGAGACCTGGTCTCCCCGTGTCTCAAACCCCGAGTCTCAACACCTTGAGACCTGGTCTCTCCGTGTCTCAAAACCTTGAGACCTGGTCTCTCCCTGTCACAAACCCCAAGTCTCAAAACCTTGAGACCTGGTCTCCCCGTGTCTCAAACCCTGAGTCTCAAAACCTTGAGACCTGGTCTCCCCGTGTCTCAAAACCTTGAGACCTAGTCTCCCCGTGTCTCAAAACCTTGAGACATGGTCTCTCCGTGTCTCAAACCCCGAGTCTCAAAACCTTGAGACCTGGTCTCCCCGTGTCTCAAAACCTTGAGACCTAGTCTCCCCGTGTCTAAAAACCTTGAGACATGGTCTCTCTGTGTCTCAAACCCCAAGTCTCAAAACCTTGAGACCTGGTCTCTCCGTGTCTCAAACCCCGAGTCTCAAAACCTTGAGACCAGGTCTCTCTGTGTCTCAAACCCCGAGTCTCAAAACCTTGAGACCAGGTCTCCCCGATTCTCAAACCCCGAGTCTCAAAACCCTGAGACCTGGTCTCCCCGTGTCTCAAACCCTGAGTCTCAAAACCCTGAGACCTGGTCTCCCCGTGTCTCAAAACCTTGAGACCTGGTCTCCCCGTGTCTCAAACCCTGAGTCTCAAAACCCTGAGACCTGGTCTCCCCGTGTCTCAAAACCTTGAGACCTGGTCTCCCCGTGTCTCAAAACCTTGAGACCAGGTCTCCCCGTGTCTCAAACCCTGAGTCTCAAAACCCTGAGACCTGGTCTCCCCGTGTCTCAAAACCTTGAGACCTGGTCTCCCCGTGTCTCAAAACCTTGAGACCTGGTCTCCCCGTGTCTCAAACCCTGAGTCTCAAAACCCTGAGACCTGGTCTTCCCGTGTCTCAAAACCTTGAGACCTGGTCTCCCCGTGTCTCAAACCCTTGAGACCAGGTCTCCCCGTGTCTCAAACCCTGAGTCTCAAAACCCTGAGACCTGGTCTCCCCGTGTCTCAAACCCTGAGTTTCAAAACCTTGAGACCTGGTCTCCCCGTGTCTCAAACCCCGTGTCTCAAAACCCTGAGACCAGGTCTCCCCGTGTCTCAAACCCCGTGTCTCAAAACCTTGAGACCAGGTCTCCCCGTGTCTCAAACCCTGAGTCTCAAAACCCTGAGACCTGGTCTCCCCGAGTCTCAAAACCTTTAGACCAGGTCTCCCCGTGTCTCAAAACCTTGAGACCAGGTCTCCCCGTGTCTCAAGACCTTGAGACCTGGTGTCCCCGTGTCTCAAAACCTTGAGAGACCAGGTCTCCCCGTGTCTCAAGACCGCCGCGTCTCGCTACTTAATTCACGTCGCGTGCGCGTCGCGATGGTGGTGGGAGGGGTTCCTCGCGGCTCGTAGGATCTGAATGGCCGTAGATTTGCGGCGATCCGGCCAGTGAATGGCAAAGCGCCGTCGCCGCTATCACCCCCCCCCCTTCAGTGTGGAGGGGGGGGGGTGCAGGGTTGCCACGGCGCGTGCCGCACAGCGCGAAAACCATCCACGCGTTCACCCCCCCCCCCCCTCACACCGGACCGGCGCTCCGTGTCCCCCCGGGTCTCGCACGGTGCCACGTTCACGCTCACTGAGAACCTTCATTCAGACGGGGGGGGGGGGGGGGGGGTGGTGGTGGCGGGGGGTGGGGGGGGGGTAGCGGGGGGTGGGTGGGGGCTGTCACAGTGAGCCGCCCGGTCTCCGTGTCAGCCGCGCGCCTATCGCAGGAACGCCGCCGCGTAGCGCCAGAGGGTACGGCAAGGACGTCGAACGCCACGGCCGATAGCCGGGAGCACGCCGCCGCTGCTGGCAGAAGGGGGCCCCGACCCCCTTCCGCTGCTAGAGAGGTCGAGAGACTCGGGGTCTAGAGGCTGGTCTCGAGTGGTGCAATTGTTTCTAGATTTGAAGCTTTCGTGACTGCAAGGATTCATACTCTTAGATTTTTTCGGTAAAGTCACCGAAAAAACCTAAGAGTAGGATGCAATTGTGGCCATGCAGCCAAAACTATGGACCGCCCAGTAAACCGATAAAGAAATAGAGACCCACAGAGATCCATAGAGACACACAGAGATCCATAGAGACACACAGAGATCCAGAGATATCCATAGAGACCCACAGATATTCATAGAGACACACAAGAGATCCATAGAGACACACAGAGATCCATAGAGACACAGAGATCCATAGAGACACACAGAGATCCATAAATCTACACGACCACGGGGAGAGAGAGAGAGACACGTAAACTCCAAATATACAGCAGCAGGCGTCAGGGTTCGGGATCCAACCCACGACCGCCTGTAGACCAGGCGAGGTAGTTAACATCTCCTAGCCACCGTCCTAACGATAACAAGAAGTAGTTCTAAAGAAATGAGTTTGCCAATCCTAGATGGCGATTGAAAAAGTGGCATCACAGCTCCCA